CCCCAAAACCCCAAAACCCCAAAACCCCAAAACCCCGTAGGGAGAAACATAAATTGATAAATAAATAAGAATCGGCAATGGAAGGTAATCTTTGCCAATTTATATATAGTGTGAAAAGACTTAGGAACTAAATTGGGCTCAGAGAATTTTGTCTCTGTTTGAGGTATGAGATTCTACTAAAATTACCAAAAAATCCAAGAATTTATTCTCATTCAATCGGATAAGTTTTCAGGGATAATTGATAATTTACTCTTACTCTCATTATTATGAGTATGATGAATTTGTAAACTCAGTGCACCTACTCTTCCTTAAATTAGAGAAGGTAGAAAGGCTGTAACTAGTAATTTGCTTACAACTTATCCTAAAAGTCTACCATTGTTAAAATCTTGGTTATCTCTCCTTCTGGTAAACTTTAAAATACTCCTTTTTTTCACGAATCTTCTTATCAAAAACATTACAATTTGAAGCAATCTACAGTGGCATAATCTTTGATATATAGAAGTATGAGCATTCATCGCACGATATTCGGTTAACTTGATATAATATTGCTCCTACTGATTGCAGGGATTCTTTATCTGGTGGCCCAGCTAGAGAAAAGCGAGATTAAGTGTGCAGAGACTACCATAGAGCAAGGAAAAGACTTTAGTGATAATGTAAGTACTTTTATGGAATAAACTACATAAAATTATCTAGAAATTTCTTCTGGGTGACCAAATAGAGCCCACACCATTATTAATTTTAGGGATAATTAAGTTTGGATTAGTATAATTTGATGAAAGATGAATTTGAATTTTTCATCAAGAGGGTTCATCATGGAAATTTGGAGTATGACTAACTCCCTTAAAAAATTCCAGATTATCCATTTTCACTAGCACTAAGTCTTTATTTGGATAGAAGTGTACAAGGGGTATAATAACAAAATTTTGACGATTTGGTCAACTTCTTTTAACTCTTGTTAACCTCTTTTATTACGAAAATTATCGGAAAATTATAATTTAGCAATATTTATACCCAGAATTTCCTTCTTATTTCCTCACCTTGGGACGTTTCGGCAACAGCTGAGATTATTATTTCAGCGGAGACAATTTTATTAAAAATGGCAATATTAATAATATCGATTTAGGATATAAATTTGGAAGCATGAAAAAGTGACCAAGGTAATCAAAGACTTCAGAAATCGTTGTTTAAACCCCGAAACAAAAGGTATGAATTCTCAATAGCCTTCTTAATTATTCTTTAGCTTTCCTCAGCCCAAACAGTCCTCCATTTCCAGAGAAGAAGAGAGCACCTGATCAAGCTTAGAAGGAGAGAAGAATAAAATAAGAGTTGAGCATTATAGGTAATTTATCATAAAAACTTAAGATGAAAAACCTCTTCTTTTCTTAGCCTATAAACTATACGTCATTTTGAATACTTCATTTGAAACTCTTAACCACAGGTGTTCTAAAGACGGTTTAAAAATTTAAAAATCTTCAGAAACGATAACTAAGTTATGAGGGTTACTTTAAGCTCTTAAAAGATATAATATAACCCATCATGCTCTCCTGTAAACCTGTTAGTGGATATAACTAGAAAAGGGAGGGATAATTAGACCATTTGACCTTCTTACTAGCTTTCTCATCAATACAAGTTAGCGAAAATAAGGCCAAATCATTAAAATTCTATCATTTGACACTTAGTTTTAGAAATCATGGGTCTGTATAGAGAAACTGACTGGAAAGAAGAACTTTTGATCTACAGGAGCTGTCTGAAGAAGAGCAAAGGGGCTTCTTTCAAGACAACAAAGATGGAAAATCTTTTAACTGAATAATAATAGCTTATAACTCTATATGAATATCACCACATGGGGTTTTGGGGTTTTGGGGTTTTGGGGTTTTGGGGTTTTGGGGTTTTGGGG